CCAGTCCGGAGGACGCCGCGAGCAGGCTTTCTGCGGCCAGGGCTGCGGCCCCGCGACCCCGCTGTGCGCGAGGGCCCGGGGCGGGGTCGTCCTCGGGACCCGGCCTCGCCGTGGGTTCTCAGCGCTCACGCGGCGTGAAAAGAGTGGCGGGTGTAGGTCACTTCGCGGGAAACTTTTCGTTGTTTCCTTATTTCCTTCCCGCCTGTGGACAAGCTGAGCGGCTTCCCGACCTCAGACCAGACGCTGTCAGGCCGAACAGTCTGGACAGTTCCAGGCGCCGGGTTTGGGGGACACCGCGTCGCCACCTGTGTCTTCCCACAGGAGGCGGCGAAACTGTCCTTGCCGACCTCCCGCTGTAACCCGCTCTTTTCTCCCGGTCGACTTTTCCAGGGTTAATATTTGTATGTTTCAAAGGAACTGTACAATATGAACAAAGATAATTTGACTACTTCTGGCGCGGACAGAGGTTTTGAGGGACATTTTAGCACGTGGTAGGAATGACTAGAATTCCCCAGTCACGGTGAAGCCATTCGGGACTGCTCAGCAAGAAAGGTCGTGTGCTGCCAATATGCAGGACACAGATTGCTCCCCCCACCCCGCCCCGTTTTGCCCTTTTTTTTTCCTTTTTGGCTCAGCTCTGAGAGCAGTACAGAGCTACCCTTTCCCGCCTCCCGACCCTCTTCCCCTCCCCCTCTTCTTTCTGGTGCTGGCAATTAGGGTGAAGAAATCAGTGCCAGGATCCTGCCTCTGAAGAGAAAGGAACTGCTTCGGGAATTGAGTCCTGACACCTGTCTCTGTCCCGGATGGGGAGGGGGATGCAGGGTCAAAATACCGGGGGCAGGGGAGGCCAGGCTGACCCAGGGGCCGGGAGCGGGTGGGAGGTAGATGCTCCCTAAAACAGCGTTCTTGGGGGTTCCTCTTGCCGCATCTCCCCACCCCATTCTTTGCTTCCAGCTTCACTCAGGTCGTGAACATGCAGGTTATTAACGCACTTCCCCTCGCTTTTAGCGCCCTAAGATTGGGACCTAAGGCTGGAATCAAAAGCAACACTGGCAAGCCTTTCATTAATTTGCATTTATTTTGGGAAATAATGTAGATAAAGAGGAGGAGGGGGACGGCCTTACATTTCAACAAGTAATTTGTGATCTTCACATTGGACAAATCAAATTTACAAATTACTTTCCCACCTACTGGACAAAGCGGCCAAAACCGAAATTGATACATAGGCTCGCAGGCTTTCCAGATTTCGGAGGATGAAGGTGCACTAAAAACTCACTAGACAAAACAGGGATGTGTAAAACAGAGCAATTGGAACTGGGGTTTGGGGCCTGAGTTTGTTTTTCCAGAATGCCATTTTTTAAAACCTTTTTGTTTGGTTTGGTTCTTTTTTGTGGTTTTTTGTTGTTGTTGGGCTGGGTTCTTTTGTCGTTTTTGTTTTTGTTTTTTGGTCTCTAAACCGGAACTGCGACCCTGTGCTTAGACCAGGCAAAGGGCTCAGTCCTGTGCCCCACCCCAGTCTGGCCCCCGAACCCTGTATCCTGACCTGGCTGTTTCCTTCACACTCCCGTGTCCTCTGCGCTCAGCTTCCTGGAACCAAGCGGTTCTCTAATAAATACACAGAGGGAGATGTGAAGAGAGCAGAACAGCTTTGTAACAACTGGAAAATAAAAGCGCCATCGCTTGAGGAAGACAGGAAGGGGAACAGAGGGAAAATATGTTTTGCTTTTGTTTTTATATATATGTATATATATATATGTGCTGTATATATCTTAAAGTTCTGTTTCCTGGGCGCTAAAACGAGATATGCTCAGTTCAACCAACAGCAACTAAAAAGTTTAAGTGGTCCCTGGAACGGACCGACTATGTACAGCATTCCCGCCGAGGCGGAAGCTTGAACTAGTCCAGCGTAGGGCGGGGACACGGCTCTGTGCTTGAGGCTGCAGGAGCGCTCTTCTTGCGGGCCTGGCCCCACGCACCCCGCTGGGCAGGAGGAAACCTGGGAAGCTCTGGCTTGCAGGCGCGGAGCAGAATCGAGGGCAGCCGAAGGGGCGACAGTCTGTGCGGGAGAAACACTTAAGTGGTTGTTTTGATTTGGAGTAGTGTGTGGGCGCACTCCAATGGGCAGATACACGCCAGTTAGTGACTTCAGTGTCCAGAAAGAATAAATAATAGTGTTGGGCTCAAGCAGTAGATCAGAGCGAAAAGCCTCCGAAGGCTGCAAGTGCATAAGAGCTGTCCAGAAAGATGAGGGAGTAACTTAGTTCGATGGGGGTTGAGAGGGAGAGCACGAGCTATCCCGCAGAGAACCTGTGGGTGAGCTGAAGCACCGGTCCCCTGTTCACCGGGTAGGCGGGTTTACACATCCCCCCAAACAAGTGGCACAAAGGGGGAGGAGGAGCGGCAGTGCAGGCAATGGGCATCTTTTGGGGGTGTGAAAATTCAGTTTTGGAGAAGCCGAGGCAAAGGCGGGCGGTGCAGCAGCAACAACAGGATGGGGACCACCAAGGGCGCAGGTAGTTGTGTTTTTTGTTTTTGTTTGCTTCTTTCCCTCTCTCTCCTGGGCTCACAAGACCTGGAACCGCCAAGAGGCTTGGTCCTTATAGTCCAGACAGTCGGGTGAATTGAAGTTGAGTTTCCAGGCCGAAGAAGCAGCAGCAGCGCCGGGCTCCTTGTAATCCAAGCAGTCGGCAGAGTTGAAGGCAAGCCCTGAGCCCCCGTAGCCTTGGTGGTGGTGGTGGTGGTGATGGTGGTGGTGGTGGCCTGAGGACTGGCTCAACGGATGATGTGCATGCGGGTGGTGATGATGGTGGCCTGCCATGGAGGAGGGTGCCATGGGGCTGAGCTGGTGCGGGTGGTGATGCGAGTGCATGGGCGCTAGGTAGGAGCTGCAGTCCACACCGCCAAAGTAGGAAGAGGAGGGCGCTGGGTAGCCCTGGCCATAACTGCCACCCTGGCCATAGGACATGGGATAGGAGGCTGCCGCTGTGGCGGCCCCTGCGGCTACCGTGCGCTGCATACAGGAGGTGTTGCTCGGCGCAGCCAGCGGCTCGGGCACAGACACGGACGCCGGCGCTGAGCCCGGCGAGATGGAGGCCGGGCTCCAGATGGACGAGGCCGCGGGCGTGCTCAGCGACGGCGCTGCAGCCACCGCAGGGTTCCCGCCTAGGCCCGCAGCGGCCGCCGGGATGGCAGAGGCGCTGGAGGCCGAACTAGAGGACGAGGCCGAGCTGGAAACGGCGGGCGGAGTGAACTGGCCGCTGCTCTCGGAGCCGGAGCTCTCCCGCACTGGAGACGACTTCTTCTTGACGGGGCGGCTCTTAGTTCCGCTCCCACTCTGCTGCTGCTGCCGGCACTTGGCGCGGCGGTTCTTGAACCAGACCTGCATCGGGCCGGGCAGGGAGGGCAGGTCAGCGTGCAGAGTGGAGTTACTGCTCCTCCGCCCCTCGGACCCACTCCCAGCCCAGGCTCCCCTCGCCGACCAAGCCCCCGCCCCTCCCCGGCTCAGGCCCGCCAGACGCTGCCCCTCCCCCACAGTCCTTTCCCAGCTCCTGCACCCTCCCCCATCTGTCTGCGCAAAGCCCCTCCTCAGCCCGCTCCGGAGCGGGGATGCGCACCTCCCCACCCCTAGCGCAACTCCGCCGGAGGGAGGGCGGAACGTTTGCATCTGTCCAGCCAGTTCAGCCGTCTCTCAACTGTTTCCCTATAGTCCAGGGTCTCTTTGGAGGGCCTGTTTTGTATGAACAGAACTCGGGAAAATGAGAAGAGGTACAGAGCACGGAACGAGCGGCAGCCACCAAGTGTGGATCTGGGGCCCAGGCACTTCCACTGAGCTGGCTCCTGGAGGTCCACGCGGGATGGGCGAGAAAGTTAGGTTGGGAGCAGGAGTAACGCTGGAGGCTAAACAGAAGCAGGACGGGCTTCTCCGCAAGGAAGCCTGGGTGAGATTTCGTTTGGGCTTTTTGGCTCCAGGCAGGGAACCAAATGGAATGGTCAGTTATAAAGTTCCCACTCCTCTTAGAGGACCTGGCACATGGCACTGGATTCCTGACCTTTTCTCGAGCCTTCGGGGAAAGAAGGCAAGACAAAAGACCTTTAAGGAGAGTTCTGAGTTAGAATCCGAACTGTGTTTTTGGAACTATTTCATCTTAAAAACATAAATACCAAGGCCGACAGCTAAGTTTTGCACACGGCGCCCGCTCCTGACACAAAAAGTGTCTGATCAGACCTACTCCTTCCGTACAGCGTCCTCCCAGGCAGAGCATGGGGCTCCGGCCAGTTTCCACTCTTGTCCCTCCAGGATCCTCGAACATAAGGCAAGGACAGAGGCAGAATTCAGGCCTTCGGGAGAGTTTTGGATCCTCGCGGCACTTTACCTTTGATAGCATAACTCTCCTCCCAAAATCTTAAAAAATGATTTTAATACTAAAGACCTCCCTGGGAACAAGGAACCCAGGAATCCAATGCCATGTGCTAGGAAGAGATCAGGAATCCAATGCCATGTGCCAGGAAAAGATTAGGAATCCAATGCTTGTGCCAGGCCCTCTAAGAGGAGTGGGAACTTTATGACTGACCATTCCATTTGGTTCCCTGCCTGGAGCCAAAAAGCCCAACGAAATCTCACCCTGGAATCCAGGGCTCTAAATCATTTCCTTTAATTTTGCCGTTTTCTTGGCTGACGCCCAGCACTAGGGGGAGTCCGAGAGGGGCTGCCCAGTCTAGTCTGTAAGCCCGCCCTCCCTCACACCAGACCACCTTTCCCAGACGTACCTGCCTGCCTGACCCCACCGTGCCTACTCTGACCCTAGAATCCCTGAAGCGCGTACCTGGACTCTGGACTCGGGCAGGTTGATTTTCAGCGCAACCTCCTCGCGCATGAAGATGTCAGGGTAGCGAGTCTTGGCGAAGAGCGCCTCGAGCACGTCCAATTGTGAGCGAGTGAAGGTGGTGCGCTCCCTCCGCTGCTTCCGCGGGGTAGCTGCAGGGACATGCGAGGGGCGCTTCTGGTCAGCGGTGGCTAAGCCAACTGGTACTAGAGGCCTTGGACAGGTCCCCCGGCAGTCCCGAACCCGGCCGAGTGAAAAAAAAAAAAAAAAAAAAACCACCAAGTTCTGAGCAAAAGGAACTCCCTTGGGAGCCGAGCGATTGGCCACAGGTGGGAGAAAGTGCCTGCATTTGACTAGGACCTGTGTCTACAAAACACCAGAGCGACCCTCCTCCCAGCCTCTCAGGGGTTAAAAAGGAAAAGACACCACATAATTTCTTTCCCTTACATCTCCCCACACCGACACACACGCTCCCTGGCTAGGACATAAAGAGCAAGGAGGAGGTCCACGGAAACACCACCTGGAAACACCTCTTCCTCAGGAAATAAATAGGGGTAAAGGAGAGGGAGATACAAGAACCGAGAGTTCAGCTGAAGTTGTCTACTACACCACTGCAAAAGTTGGTTTAGGTCACCAGTCTAGAGGACTATAGAATTAGGGAGGAAGAATCTTTCTTCTCAGTGTAGCCAGCCACTTGGAATAAGGGAAGCCTGGCTCTCTTATGTCAGGGCCTAGTAAGTGTCCAGATTCTTTATTCAGTGTTAGGGTGGGGAGACCAGATTCATGAGAACCAGTGGTCACCTGTGGGAAACGAAGTCGAAGACAAATGGCTCTATGAAGGAGATGGGACAGGAAACAAGCTGCTGGTGCGGACAGACCCAGAAGGCACACACTGTAGCTTTCAAAAGCCCTGACCACCTCACAGACCTGCAACTGTGCCCGTGTCCCTGCAGCAGGCCCTACGTTGTATAAGGAGATTGGTATCCAAATTTGGGCCTATTTGGTGATCAGGTGGGTTCAAATCTGAGAGGCTGGGGGTTCCCAGTGTTCGGTCTGCGGCAGGGTTGGAAGGGCCAGTGCTCACCGGGATAGCCCACGGAGGGATGCAGGAGATCCATAGTGGGCCCAGCCAGGCCCAGACCATTCATGCCATATGGGGGTTGTTTGAGGTAAGACATCATGCTAACAGCCGGGTGGAGGCACCCCGACGGATCCAGGGGGCAGGAGCAGTACAGGGCTCCCACCTCGGAGTCCTTCAAGCTGTTGCTTCTGGGGGCCTGGCCTATGGAGACAGGAGATACACAAGAAAAACATCACTCAGTACCACTTCGGCTTCTAGGTTGTGTCCCAGGCAAGAAGCCCCTGGGTGGGTGGAGGACGCAGGCTACACAGTTGCACAGGACTGTCAACTCGGCTCCACAAGGTCTCAGCTAAGTGACCACAGCTTATCTTAAAAGTAAACTTTCTGGATAATCACTGCCTCTTTGGGGGGGCTGGCATGGGCCAAAGACATTTGTCAGGAGTGAGGAGAGTAGTTAAAAGCATGGCCAGGTTGGGGAGGTCAGAGCCAGAACCACAGAATGTGCGAAAGCTTATATCTAGGCAAAACTTTAAGTCCAGCGGCTTCATATTGCACAAGCAAGTGTTCACTTGGCGCCCAGACCTCAGGCCGCAGAGATCGAAAGTGTAAGGGGTTGTTTAGTTTTGTTTCAAATGTTTTTGAAAACGGGACATAGAAGGTAGACACTACAGCGGGCTAAAATGAGGCAATGAGGAGTGGTGACTGCACCCGGCCTCTCGGGAAGCACCGTCCACTTGGTTCCTTCAAAGAGCTCCATGGCAGCTCCCCTGCCCCAGAGTCCGTATCACTATCCTGGATAACCTTTCAGTGCCCAGCCGCTGAGACACGGCTTACCCGGGATCCCGCCGCACCTCTCCGCGGTCACGGCCCAGCCCCCAGAGGTGGCCAAAGAAAACCAAAGGGACCATAGTAAAAGTGGCAGTTCCAAGACACCGCCCGAGGTCTGAAGTGCCTCATTCTCGGCCACCTGCCCTTCTCTGCTCGCACAAGGCAGGCCTCCTTTCTACCCAATCGGGTTTGTGCACAACCGGATCCCATTAGGGGACGAAGAGTGACCAGCCTGGAGCCCTAAAGGGTCTCGGGGATTTGGGAAGCCTTAGTATGGCCGGCCGCGTGTGCTTCCTACTATCCTATTAGCTGAACCCGCGGCCCCAGAACCCAATCGAGAACAGAAAACTAGGCCTCAGCGGCAAAGCCCACGCGGACCCGAGCTGGAAGGTCGAAACCCCGTTTCCACCGCTGCTCAGAACCGGGGCACTACTCTCAGAGGTCAAGAAAGGGAGCTGGGTAGTGAGACGGGACCGAAGGGCCTTAGCGCTACACTTTGCTTTTCGAGAATTCTGTAAAGGAGGCCAGGAGCCCCGATTAGGGAATTCAGGGAGGGGAGTCGGAGCTAAAGTAGCTCCCATCCCAACCCCCACCCCACTCCCTTCTTCTAGGGCCCAGGGCCAGGGACAAGGAATCCCAGCTTCCAAGGAAGGGGAGGAAAAGCTGAACAGTCGGGGCTCGCCGTCTCTTCGGTGGGAGGAATATGGGACTGAAGCCACGGCGGTTCTGCTGGGTTGCGGCGCTAGTTTCCAAAGACTTTCTCCAAACTTAGCGCTGCAGCTCGGTTACTTCGGAGGAGGCGGGGGAGGGGGCGCAGGGCCGCAGCAGCGGTCTGGGGTCCTCCGCGCTCGAGAAGGGGAGCCAGGCCTCTCCCCCCCGGCCCCGCCCACCTGCCCGGGTCCGTCGAAGCCGGGATCGGTTTGAGTAGGAGGAGGCAAGAGTAACCAACACGCTCCGGAGTCGCGGGCGGCCCCACGGCTTTCTCCTTACCTGCCCTCAGCTGTCGGGGCCGCGCACCATCTACCTCGCGCCCTCAGAGACCAGCCGGGTAGCCAACCTGGAAAACAGAGCGGCACAGGAATTACCCCGGCGGCTGAGCTAGAAGCCCCGGGTTTCTTTCTTTCCCCAACTTCCTTCCTCCCATCTCTCTCTTTTCCAGTAGCTTTGCGCGTGTCCCTTCAGGTTTCACTTTATTGCACAGACACTTTGTTTGCAAAGCCCCACACGCTCCCAGGACACTGCCTCGCCCGGGACCGCGCCGAGGGGCCGCCAAGAGGGAGGGGGTTTCGGGGGCAGAGTTGGGAGGCGGCTCGCGGTTGCCGCTGCACTCCCGGTGCAACGTGGGGGCGGCGGGGACTGGGAAGTCCTGCAGAGTCACTTTGCAAACTAAATAAATCAAGCGATTTACCTTGTCGGAGTGGCTTGTCTTGCTCGGTTGTTTAGGTGATTGGAAATGTAGCCTGATGAAGATTGATCACCTTTCTACTGCCCTCCCCGGGTATGTGAACGCGAGGCGAGTGCGTAACGGGGCTAGGCCGCCAATCCGGGGCCCCGCACGGGCTGAGTGACAGGGAGCCGGGCAATGGCTGCGCGAGCCGGGGGTTACCTCGGCGCACCCCCGCCCTCCCCCGCCCCTACACCCCGCCATCGCCGCCCGCCCACCCCGCCCGGGTCGCGCGCTAACTCCGGGGCTCCACTGGCGAATTCCGCGCAGAGCGAGGCGAGACGAGGAGGGCGAGCGGAGCGCCCGAGTGCCCGCCGCGGAGAGGGCCGTGGGTCCCGCGGCCCGCCCGGGGGCCTCCGCCCTTCTCGCGCCCTCTCGGCGCTTCCGAGGGAGTGGCGGAGAGGAGGCGAAGTCCTGGGTAACCGGTTCCTTTTCTCCGCCGCGCGCCACCCGCTCCGCGGCCAGAATTTGGGCGCGAGGACTGGGGGCGGCGGGCTGGAGAGGCGGCGGCCCCGGCCCGTCTCGCGACGCCTTGGGCCCCAGCGGCTCCTCGCTGTGCGCCCCACCTGCAGCCCGGCAACGCGGGCGGCTCGTGCCAGCGCAGGCTGCGGTGCGGAGCGCGGGAGCAGATCCCCCCTCGGCGGCCCGGGACTCCCGCGCCGGGGAAGAGCACCCGCAGGCAGCGCGCCGCCGCCCGCCGCTCCTCGGCGTCTGCAGGGGCGCCCGTCCCGCCAAGGGCGTCTGCACGTTCCGAACGCGTCCTCCGAACCGCTGGACCCGGGGTCCCCTTGCCTCACACATGCACCGTACTTCCCAGGCTAGGAGCTTGGCAGGAAACTCTTTCACACTCCTCGGTCTCTCCTTCCACGTCTCCACCTACCCGAGTCAGTCTGGTGGAAAACGTGGTCACAGACCCGTGCCCCTCAGTTTCTTTCCCACACGCTGAGGAGGGAGCCTCCCCGAGGCTATTTCCCCGGATTGTTCGCACTGGCGAAGCCCATTTCCCAGTTGAACAAACTTGCCAAGTACGTTTACCTGTGTGGACTTTTCAAAGCCTAAGAAAAGTGCCTTCGGCCCAACCCTGAGCAAGGCAATTCTTTTAAATGGCACCTCTCGGTGAAAGGCACGACTTGGCTCCCCTTCGAGGGATTCCTACCCTTCCCCTTAATCTGCCCCCGCCCCCACCCCGGCGGGCGGAGGGAAAAGTTTGCACAGCAGCGAGGGCGGTGGGGAGCCGCCGGGCGCACCGCGGCGGGGAGCGCTCCGGGCCGGCCGGGCCGGGCACCGCGAGCTGCCGGGGCGCTGGGTGAGGAGGAGAAGGAAGGGGGAGCCCGCTGAGTGAAAGGGGGCCGCGGCCGCCACTCATCAAAGTGCTTCCCCTTCCCCCAAGCGACACTTTCCTTTGGAGTCCGAATAAAATACGGTAACAGAATATGATGGAGGGCACACTGTTTCCTTAACTGCTTCTCAAAGGACCGGGAGATCTTCTTAGGACCTTTAATAAGGCTTTGGTCGGTTCTTTTGTTGATCTCTCAAAATCAACTCCTTCTAATTGAAGTTGGAGCTGAAAGCGAGCTAATGTTCAAAGAAAGTGGCCGCCAGACCAACGAAATTACATTTTTTTTTTTTTTTTTTTTTTGGACGACAAGGGAACATCTAATCAAAGGGGCAGGGAAGGCGGGGTGGGAGTGGGGGACCACGAAGGAGAAAAGGAGGTTTTACAAGACCCTTCTCTGGTTCACAAAAGTCAGCGACACGGGCGCTTCTCTCTAGAACAAAGACGCCGCGGCCCATTCACAACGGGAGAGAAAGAGAAAGCAGAATAAAAGAACGAGAGGAAAGAAAAAATGAGACCGAGAGGAAAGAGAGAGAGAGAGAGAAAGAGAGAGAAGGAGGGAGAGAGAGAGAAGGCGAACGTTTAAGAGGAAGGAGAGAGCGCAGGCAGCGCTGGCCCGGGCGGGACACACCTTGGGCTCGCCAGGGCCCCCGCCTGGAGCAGCCCGCAAGGCGGACGGTCAGCCGCGCGTGGCTTGGAGCCACGGAGATCGTGCTGCGGTTTAAAGGAGGAAACAATACCCGCCTGCCCCCAGCTCTGGGACAGGGCGCGGGCCGGGGCGCACTAGTTTCGGGGGTAGAGTATGCAGCCGTCCCGGGGCGCCCGCTGGCGTGGTCCGCGTCCTTAACTTGGCGCTGCCAGAGGCCCGGCCTGCGCGCTCTGAGCTCGGATGGGCCCTCGCGTGCCAGGGCCGTGTCCTGCGGGATCCTGCAACCTTTCGTACTCCTGCCTCCTCCAGGTTGTTTTGCTGGCAGCCGCAAAACCCAGCCTGGGTCCAGCAAGACGAGGTGGGGCTCCACGAGCGCTGGAATGTGCCCGCGCGGTCCCCAAGGCCCGCCGCGCGGGAGTCCGGCGCTCTTGGTTCCAGATGCTGCCTCCAGTCTCGGGGAAGACGGGAGGTATCAAGTAGCACGGACCCCCCCCCATGACAGTATTTATCTAATCCCAAATTTGGGGCAAATTTTCTTAATGCTCAGCTCGTAAAACCCCGGGATTAAGACAAGAAAGAGACGAGAGGGGAGAGGGAGGTGAATGGAGAGAGCCAGACTGAGATGAAAGTTTCCTGAACGCAGCGCAGAGGATTGAGGCGGCGGCTACTAAGCAGAGCCCAGGTGGGCGACACCGGGCCAGAAGCTGCGGCCGCTCCCGCAAACCGCAGCGGCGCGGGGAGGGGAAAGTGAGGACCGCGCTGGACGAGGGGAAGCCTCTTAGTTTAAGGCTCACGGACCAGGAGGGGGCAAAGGACCTGGACTTTGAGACTCGGATCCAGCATCCAGCTGACCCGGAGGCGAGGCCGGACTCCCGCAGGACACCTGAGACAGGGCATGGGTTTGAATCCCGAGCCCGGAGTTTTTAGCCAGAGGCGAAAGTTCTGCACTGGCCAGGAGACTGCGCCTGAACCAGTCACCGCCAATGCTCCTGCACCTCGGCGACCCCCGACCTAGAGTCTTTGATCCCACAACGAAGGCTTTCAAGTTCACAATCCCTCGGCGCTCCGGGTTCGCTCGCGCTCAAGGGAGCCGGCGCCCGGGCACCTTGCAGTAAAGCAGGACGCGGCGCGCTTGCCGCGGGCCTGACCCGGCGGGTCCCAGGGGCCCGCACTCCACCGCCGCTGAGGGGCGTTCGGGCGCCGCGGAGTGGCCCGAAGCGAAAGCCTGCGGGTCTGGGAACTGAAGCAGGAGGGGCAAGGTGAGGGGCCGCAGAGCGGCCCCCAACCACCCTAGCAAATCTGGGGCTTAAAAGGCTTGTCACCTGGCAGATCGTGAGCGGCTCGGGGGCGGAGGAAGGCAGCCTTGCCGCGAGGCCCCTCAGAGGTTCCTTGAACCCAGCTTACAGAGGGAGTGGGCGCTGTGGCTCGCTCAAGCCCCGGGCCGCTTGGGGCGGCCGATTTCCGTCCCAGAGGTTAAAGTGGGTTCTGAGTTTTCCCCACAGCAGCAGCTGGCTCTCTGTTGTCCTGCTCGAATAAGGTGGGCAAATAGCCGATTTCATTTAGTTCCAGTAAGTTTTCAGTAACTTAAAATTATTTTCTGGTCAGGAAGATATTCTACCGTGGCAAAATTCTATCACTTTGAAAGACTGACAATTAGAAGTGGCAGCAAACTTTTCGAACGAAATGGGTGTGTGTGTGAGAGACAGAGCGAGCGAGAGATCTAGGCTGAAGTGTAAAAGCTAGTGTTTTCTCCAAGTTTCAGGACTTGTTGAACGAGCTTTCTTTGTTTGGACACCCTGGTAGAGGAGTGATGGAAACTACTGTAGAACAGCCAGTTTCATCTGGGGCCTAGACATTCTTGTTAAAATTCCCCCTTTCCGCATTTCGAATACCTGCACGCACCCCACCCCCAGCTCACCTTCCCCAAACACCCTCTTCCTTTCACTTCAGTGCCCACAGACTTGCTCGTTATCGGAAGCCAGTTCTCTACAGAATTGCAAACTGCACAACTATGACAATTCAAAGTAGTAACGCGAAAAACTCCTAAGAGTACTTTTTTTTTTCCCAGTGGTGTGGAATCAAACATTTCCTCAAATCTTTAAGAGATAACCCTTCCCCAAACAGGTAATAGTTTATACTCTTTGAGAATATGACTATTTTTCAATTTGCATGTGTGTGTCAGTAGGGCTCCTCCAAGATCCTGTGAAATTATTCAGCTCCAAATGCAGTCCAGTACCCTGCCCTTCCTTCCAAAAGATCATTTTCACATGAAAAGTCTTATGGATACACAAACTTCTGCTCAAGTTTTCATTGCAAGAAAAACGGCAACAGTGTTTAAGGTAAGAAAGTTTCCGCTTTTATTGAAAATTTATATATGACTCAGTATTGTAATAAATAAACATAACCATTTTCACAAAAAAAATGACAGTGCTATGCTAGAGAAGAAAATATTAATTGGGAGATTTACTCATAGTGGCAAGACACACTTTTATCAATACAGAATAAATATTAACAGCATTCTTGAGCCAATGTTGAGACCCATCAAAATATAGGAACTAAGCAAGATGTAATAAATAATTATCCAGAGAAAAAGGTGGCGCATTCTCAGATGATAAAACAGTCTTTGTAAACTGCTGCAGGGTCAGTTAGTCCCATCCTCACAGCTCACCTTCAAGCCACAGGACCTGTCTCAGGCTACCTTAAAGGGCGACCCTCTAAGGAACGCAGAGAAGCCTGTTATCCTTACAGTGAAATGCAAACAACTGCAGAAAACCCACTGGTAAATAGAACACAGTTTAATAAGTAGATTGAATATGATCTAACTATGATTTAGGTAACAGAATGATACATATGGCAGGACTGGAAAAAATCATTCATAACGTTTTCTTATCCCTTTGTTGCCCCCCTCCCACTGTCATTATGCTATCACCACCACCACCACCACCAAGAACAACAACAGAAATTTTGAAATTTTCCTCCCATCTGAGGGAAAATGGAAGAAGTGATTTTTTTTAAAAGTTTCTTGAAAACCTCCAATACCAATCACTCACAAGGTCTCTGTGCAAATCTATTTCACATGATTTCAAAAAATGATCAACTCATTGAAAAACCCTTAAAGCTACTTTGGAGTTCTGTATATTATCTGGAAAAGAGGGAGGAGAGGGGTGGTGGTGGTACAGAAGTACAATTCGGCCGAATAAACGTTAGAAGTTTTAAATCGAAGAGTCTGTTTGTGGTCTAGAGACTCAAGACTAAAATGCTGGGAGAGATTCTGGTCTGATGCTACTGAAGAACACATTTCTCCTCTTTCTTGGCCATCTTGCCTTTGTTTTGCTCCAGAGTTCGCTCCAAATGCTCATCTTCTTCTTCGGCCCTGGATGTCAAACAGGAAACAAAATTATTTTTCTTTCCAGAGGGCAGAGTAAGCTAGCCACACATTTGGGTGCTCAGCGGGAATGCAGAGCACCAGGTCAGCGGGAGGCTGCCCTGGCCCTCTGGAGACCTGAACTCTCCACAAACTTCTTGGCCTTGTGCTCACACCTGTACCCTAACCCCACGGACCCACTCACTGCTTCTCCTGCGCATCCAGGTCCCTGACGAGCGCGTCGCGCTTGTTTACCAGGGCCACCAGCTCATCCAGCAGGAGCTGCTCACGTCGCTTCTGGGCCTCCGTCTTCTGCCAGTCTGCAGAGCACAGGAGGCTAGTTACCCTCGGTAGGGCCTCGGTATGCTTCGCCCCCGCCCCCTCCCCTTCCCGCCTTTTTCAGTCTTCTTACATCTCTCAGCAAACCATGTTACTGGATCCAGTAGTTCGTGTTTTCTGGGGCATTTGGCCGTCATGAAGAAGGCTTTATCCCTACTTTCTAAATATTTCCTGCAGATGGAGATGGCTGCTGCAGGGTTGGAACCTGCTAGAGACCAGGTGTGAGCCGATGGCCAGCGAGAGACACACACCTGAATCCGGCAAAGTGGGGGAGGGGCGCTGGAGGCCCGAAGAGGTTGGCCCAACGGTTGGGAAGGGGGGTGTGGGTAAATGAGGAGGCGGGAAACAGAGATGGCGATAAAATCATTTTGAAAGGACTAGAGAATCTGCCAGAGAACCTACCCTCCTCCCCCACCCCCACTCTCACCCCAAACAGCCCATTCTTCGCTAATTTCCTCTTCGCTCTATTTTAGCAGTTGGATGTATCTCACACTGGGCGCCATATGCTTCACAATAACTTTAAAAGTAGTGAATCGGCTAATTAGCATTTTTCTTTGAAGTAAAAAATAAATTTGCTCTGCAATATTACACTGCAGCTCTCGATCGCATCACAGCCAGTTTTCTTTTGGAGACGTTTGCTGGGTGGTTTCAAATTAAAGCACTTTTTGCAAAGGAAAAAATTACATATTTCTTTTTGAAACCTCATGTTAGAGGTTGGAAAATCCAATGGGCAGTGCTTTTTCCATGAGTGGGGGCTGTTTTATGACGGTTTTAGGCCCCACTAATATATTTCCTTATCTTTGCTGGCCTAATAATTTCCTTAAGATGAGCAGCAGTTTCATTTAATAAAAACAGGACCAAATCGAACATTTAAAACACTTTTGAAACCAAAGCCAACTGCTCTCTGGCCAGACTGTAAGGGCTTGTAGCTGTCAATCAACCCCCAGCCTACCCCGCCTCCCTCATTAGGAAGGTAAACAATGAAAAGAAGAAGTAGATGATGAGGCAGATAGCAGAACAAATGAGGACCTAGAGGGAAACAGGACACCAGCTTAAAAAAAAAAAAGAAAAAGAAAAAGAAAAGAACCCCTGGCCACTGACTCTTGCAGTCCCCTCCCCCCAACAAATGCACTTTCCAAAAAACAGAGGAGTGCAATCCTTTTGGGTTTCTCTCTTCTCTCTCCATTGCCCTGGGCAATCATGTTAAAACTCACATGGCTGGTGCTTATTCAGATAAACCTAACAATGCACACCGCTGGTTACCATGTGAATCTTCACAAACCACACAAGAATGTGCTGGTTCAAATCCCCCCCACCCCCTCTAAAGCAAAATTTATTCAAGACAGCAAACTGCTCAGCATCTTTATGAAAGCAAATGGTGCTAGAGGGAATTCTATCTTATATTTACAAATTAAAAATTAGATCCATTATCGTGCAATAAAGGTTAGAATAGCTGTAAAAAGCTAGAGTAGTTCAATTTTATCACTACTTCCATTATAAACTCAAACATGTAAATACGTATATGAATATGGAACCTGTCATATGTTAATTATGCACATTCAATACAAAACATCACAAAAATAAATGCATTAAATAATGAATCACTATTACAATCTTACTTAAAAGTGAAGTATTCTATAGCATGGAGAAAGATAAAGAAACATTACGGACAAGTTTTCTTGAACATAAAAATTTCAGTAATAAGTGAGAGTGAAGAGAAGCCATATCTATCAGAATTACTCTTTGGATTTAAATGCAACTAAAGATAGGAATGTTAGACATTTTCTAATCTGGTTCTTGTTCTTAAATCATTCTTATTCTACACAGCAGGTAAATTAATACTCTTCAGGTTGGAAAGAACTTCTAGGTCATTTAGTCTAATTTTGGTAACTGACGTTCTAGAAATATTAACTCAGAAAAAAAAAACAAATTTATAGAGAATTTGTAACTATATTATATACTTATTAAATTACCAGTTTTGATGAATAAACTATTCAGTTTCTAATCTTAGTAAGCTACTCTGATTAAAGGCTTAAATTAAGAACTCTTCTAAAGCATTTTGCTAATATCTTTAGAACTAGAAGATAAATATTCTCTATCGTAGACAAAAATATAAGCTAATTAAAAGTTAAACAAAGAAAAAATAAAATTTAACAGGCACACAATTTTAAAAATAAAAAATTTTGGATTTTTAGTCTGACTCTGAACTTGAGTAGTCACTTTTAAGGCTTTAATCAGTAATTTAAAATACCAAGATTTCTTTAACATTAAAATATTAGGACTTTTAATAATATGGATTAAAGAAACATTCTTAACTCCTGAAGTGTTGAATCCTTTTTAAAACCTTAATTTTTTCCCACATCACTAATGATATTTCCCACTGGAATAAAAACATTCTACAATTAAAAAACAGGTAATTTTCATCATTTAGAGTGAAATTTAACAGAATTTAAAATATCCTAGCATAAATTTACAGAAGTTTTCATATTGTATCTATCACTATTACATTAATGTCTGTTATACAATATTGGTCGCCTACAAAGCAAATATCTATGTGCAGTGAATAGTTTTTTACATTTACAAAACTACACTCTCACCTTGTATTTGCTTTCCCATAATGCATCAATATATGCACATATACACTTATATGCGCACATACATATTATATGTAGTTTGAAGCTAAATGAAGAAATTAAGCTATTTTGATCATTTTAAATAAAAAATTAATATTACATTTAAAATTGATAAAGATTTACATTTGTATGATCAAGTCTAAATTTTTAAAATCCCTTTTAAATAGTATCACTTGGACATGTCCTGTTTAAAAAATATGCATGTCAGTTTATAGTTTATCTGTTATGCATTTTAAGAAACGATCATTCACCTGTAACACCAGTTACAGCAACTAGCTGCACTGATTTTGGGCTTGGACAGACTACAGTGTGAATTCTGATTAATTTAAAGATTCCAGTGTACTTTTGCTACAAAAGCCATATCCTCTCACAACAAATAGGATTAAGTTTTGATGCTGCATTTGAGCCAAAGTGTTGAAATAAAGAGATTCTGTTTATGTCCACCTGCAAGGAGCTTCCTTGTTCATTTTTTTTAAAAAAACCTCTTTTTCATATACATTCATATTATCCATTCCCTGATTCACTTTATTTGCTGAAATTGATAATTACCTGGAAAAAGGCAAGAGAAATACCTATAAATACTTAAATAGAAAGGGCCTAAAGTTCTTATAATAAACCTTCAACCTTGCCACTATAAATAAGCCTGGCATTTTGATGAAAATTAACACTAGTTTTGTAAAGAGCACATTGGGGGATTGCAGTCAAGTCTTATCTTTAGTTCCAGTCAACTAGCAATCCTGAAAGAGTTTGCATCATCATCAGAACAGGCCATTTGATAGGATTCTACCGCTGTACCTAATCAATCTATGGAAGACTGTGGCTGTGCTGTGTAACAAAGCTAAAATAGATTTACAAATGGGGTTTTAGGGGATAAGCTCCTCCACAGGATTACATATTGATTTTAAATATAAAAAGCTTATCATATAAACCATAACTACAAAAATAGTGAACCTATGCATAAATCCCTTTAGAAGAGCACCCACTTCAAACTCTAAGCCAAGAATAAATCAAGATGTACAAAATCCTAGAGAAGATCCATTTCTTGTGCAGAAAATGAACATACCACTTTCTAAAAGCCCACCCCAATGTGTGCAGAAATGAATTTATCTTTCCTGAGGGGGCATTAAATAATCTGGGGGGGGGGAACTAGAGGAAAAGTATCTAAATGATGTTTGCCAGCTTGAGAGATCCTACAATTTAGTTCAGTAGAATGAAACTCCTGCTATGAAAACACCTCAGGAAGAAAAAGAAGCACAAAAACCAGGCCAAAATGATTATGGATTCTCCTAAGAATAGATATATTGATTATTATTATAATTATATTGCTCTCAAACCAAGTTCTTAATATTTCTTTCAATATGCTGTCGCTATTAATATTCTATCCCTTTCTCCTGGTGAATGGTTTCTGCAGCAGATTCACTTGTAAAGATTTATTTATTACTAAAACTATCTGATGGCTATTAAGCAGAAGAAAAGGGGAAAGAAAAGAAAAATGAACTTTAAAACAAAGGAAAGCAAAACAAAACTAACTAGTGTTGCCTATTCATATATTTTTCTGTGGTGTTTTAATACTCCAAGAGGCTACTGCACTGCATGTGTGTCCATGTTAAGGCTGGTTCGGAGGTTCCTGTCTTCACAGGGCTGATCTTCACATGATCAGCACCTCTCTGGGACCACTGTCTATGTTCCATGTCCTGCAAGGCTGGTGGGACAGGCCTTTCTCTAAGAAAGTGTCTTTATTTGTATTTCACAGGCTCTTCCTCTCCTAGTTGCTTTTTCCCTTCAACTAGCAATGGAAAATGGCAGAAAATGGGAGGCACAGTCTCAGATGGACAATGTAATTTTTAAAGGACTAAAAATTGTATTAAAAGTATTTTTAAAAGAAAAAACATTTCCCCCTATTTTTCAAAAATATTGCTGTCTACCACTCTTCTTTATGTGTAAGAAGTAACATTGTATGTCTTATATACATGGATAGACTTGCCAATGTAACTGGGATCTTTTACATCTTTTACATCTTCTTAAACTCCTCTTTTTTTTAAGATGAGTATTTGGGAATAATACTGGTTTGGGGCGCAGAACTATTTATTACCTGCCCCTAAAAGTCAACTTACTGTATCAAATTGTATTTTAGGGACAATTTATCTCTTTGTACAGGAAAGACGGGTAAAAAAATTTAAAGACTACTTTATATTGAGCGTAATGTATAATGAATCTATAAAAAAAACTGTATAATGAATTTTACATTATACATACTATATATACATATATTATATATTACATATACATATATCCAATATAAATAGTATTTGCTGCATCTATTTTTCAACTATTTAGCTTTCAAGTCTCTTTTGGAGTAAACTATGACTACAAAAACCATACATACAAAGAAAAATACTGTTTAGCATACTTGTGTTTTTTATTTTAGTAATTTCATACAATTTAAATAATTTTGCCATATTTTATACTCATTATCAATAGTATGATTTATTTGGATAGCCATTTGAAGGAAATTAGCTAACTGAACTCTTTTAAAATAGTGTCTTTAAACAAGGTTTATACAAATGTTGCCAGTGATATTTATCAAATGATATGAGTAATTACAACTCCTATATTTCTATAACATATAAGATAGCATATAGATAAATAGGGCACATATTTTACAACAATATTATATTAAAATATTTTGAGGATATAAGACTTCACTTGGCTTTCCCTTAGAAACTTAAATTTCTAGTTTCTGAACTAATTAGAATTGACTTATTATGGATCAGGTAGCTTATCAGGTGAAGAACAAAATTACCATGGACAGTCAATGGGTTAAGAGGTCAATATAGAATGGGAAAATCAATTTGCATTGATTAGACAAAAGATCCATTTTACAGAGCCCAAAGGATTAGCTTTTCAACAAAATCTTTGAACTATAAGACATTTTCAACTGAGAGATATAAGAGCATTATAA